AAAAATAAAAATTAATAAATAAGATTGAAAATAATTAGTAAATTTCCTGTCCCAGACTAAGATTTAAATTTCATCATATTCAACTCTTTTTTAAGTTTTTTTGAAATAAGGTATGGTACAAATAAGCAAAATATTCAGCTTTTAAGAGCTGAGTCTTTTCAGTTCTGGAAACTACTAACTCCATTAGATATGTACTGACTTTGCACTGGATGCAAAGCAGTGGGCAAGGCTTTTCCCTCCCCACGCACACCCTAATTCTCAGTACCATCCCCCGGCCTATCATGGATGTTCCACATAGCATTCCATTTCCTCCCTGCATTAATTCAGAAGAGAGAACCCTAAACATTCAAGGTAATATAGAGCCTTTAACCAGATCTACCTGAACCTCAATAATTCTCTACAAAAATAAATATAATATTTTCTTCTTTTGATATCTGGCACCAAGGATGCTAGTCAATTCAAGCCATTCACACCAACAGAAGCTCAGAGGTGGAATAAACACAGGAAATCAAGTCAAGAGACAGTATGCATAATGTTGGAACAAGGGTGTCAGGGTCAAAATAATATGGGTACACAAGCTGAGTGATCTTCAGCAGGTTTCCTAAGCTCTCCAAGTCAAGGTTCCCTTATCTGTAAGATGGGGAAAAATAGCTATTTCACAAAGTTGCTCTGAGAATTAAATGAGACTCTATATGTACAAGGACCCAATCTTGTCATGACATTCATTTATTAAGTGTTAGTAAGTACTAAGAATGTGCCAGGTGCTGGCAACATTGTGATGAACGAGGCAGACAGCTCCCTCCCTCCACATGCCTCTCCCCCCAGATTGGGGCTACCGTCTGGGGGAAGACAAGCATTAAACAAGTACTTACAATACACAAATAATTGCTATAAGAGGAGAAGTTCAAGTCACCATAGCCTAATTTAGAGTTCCAAAAAAATGGAAGCTTATGAAATGGTAAGCAAACCTATGTATTTAATAATATTCTGCTCTGATAAACTTGTCTTTGTCAATCTCAATGTCCTTCTCTCTCTCTCTCTCTTCCTTCTCCTTATTTCCCAGTATCATGACAACATTTCTAGCCTACCTTCATCTTCAAACAGCAATTAGCCATTTTTTTTATTAACTCATTTATATCAAGTGTACATGACTGCAAAGGTTTAGCATAGTACCTCTGCCTGCTACTAACTTCAGTATCTTCATTTTAAGCTACAATTTGGCATTCCCCAAGGGAAGAGTGTATCTGCGATAAAATTTTGTTTTTTTGTTTTGTTTTGTTTTTTTTATTTATTTGACAGAGAGAGAGAGCGAGAGCAGGAACACAAGCAGGGGGAGTGGGAGAGCGAGAAGCAGGCTTCCCGCCGAGCAGGGAGCCCGATGTGGGGCTTGATCCCAGGACCTTGGGACCATGACCTGAGCTGAAGGCAGACGCTTAACGACTGAGCCACCCAGGCGCCCCTAGGTTTTTGTTTTTTTAATTGAAAACATTTAAAAAACTTTTTCAGCTTCAAATTATTTCAAATTTATAATTAAGTAGCAAAAAGCAGTAAAAAATGTTTCCAGATACACTTTACTCATCTTCCCCAAATGTTACCATTTTACATAACTACAGCCCACTTAATTGAAAATAGAAAATTACCATTGATAAAATATTATTCAGGTTTTGACTTTATTGAGAAAAGTACTGGGGTCTGAGGAGAGAGTCAGAGGCACTATGTACAACTGATCACTGGCTTCATGGGTGATTTAAAACAGCAGACAATTCAGCTTTCCATCTATTTTGGGCTTCCAATGATGGAATGATGGGAGGGGGCATGTATATTACCTTCCTAATTTCCTTTTGTGCATACTAATGCTAAAATTTATGTGGATTTTTGAAAGACATAAACTCAAGAGAGTTCTTTTTCCAGCAAGTATTTAATCGATTCCCTATAAGGTCCCAGGAACTCTGCTGAACTTGGGGGAATCAAAGACCTGATTCCTGTTCTGCTTGGGTGCCACTACCGCACTCATCTTTGGAGGAATACTCACATTTAATCTTTACAACAATCCCTAGGAGGTAAGAACTGCTGTTATGCCTGTTTTTTTTTTTTTTTTAAGACTTTATTTATTTATTTGACAGAGAGACAGCGAGAGCAGGAACACAAGCAGGGGGAGTGGGAGAGGGAGAAGCAGTCTTCCTGCCGAGCAGGGAGCCCGATGCGGGGCTCGATCCCAGGACCCTGGGATCATGACCTGAGCCGAAGGCAGACGCTTAATGACTGAGCCACCCAGGCGACCCTGTTATGCCTGTTTGACTGAAGCCAAAAATAAGGCTCAGAGACCTAGCAAGGAGACCAGACAGCTTCTCTGCTTAACTTCCACACCATGCTGTGATGAGTGCTATTGATATGTTTTCAAGTCTGGAACAGTATGTTGATATATGAAATCACCTGCCCTGCTTTTATATAAAACATAACATGGGCATACTACCATAGAAATGGCTTAGAAAGAAAAGCAACTATATAATAAACCTTAAAAAGATGGGTACATTTAGGAACAAAAGTTTGTCATTTGGAAGGGTTTAGAACTTACCAAACGTTTTTCCAGAAAGGCTGCTGTCCCTGTTAAGAGCAGGTCAGGATACAAATGTGCACATGGGAATGGTATAAAAGAGACAGCTTCAAGTCATGGATCAACAATCTCCTCAGCCTAGGACATCAATACTCTAGTGCACATATTCCCACCTTTTCTGTTTTTATTCATAAGGGATAGACAGCCTTGGAATTTTAGCATATGATTAAGTGGTTATTATACTGATCATACCTCGTTGTTGTTTTCAAACGCACACGTTCTAGTAGCTGTGTCATCATGGTGAGTGTTAACTTTTCTTTAGGTCCTGGGGCTTTCAGAGCTGGTCCGAGCCTGGTAATGAGAGTTAGCTTTGGCAGTGGAGTAGAACCTTCCCTTTCTCCAAATGTTTGCTGTGATCGTGCGGTATCTGAGGACGTGGGTGGCTGACAGATCCATGCCTACTCAGAGGCAAAACTACTCAAAGAACCCCGCCCGTTTTGTGGGGAGGAATGGCATCTCCCCACGGGAAGGGCGGCACTGTTGTCCCCACACAGTGGACGGGGAGATGCACATGCACGTGGGCTTCTGTGGGTTCCACTCCATTTTGAAGTTCATTTTAAAAATGAATTTGAATTTAAGGTGTCTCAAAGCTGGGCCCCCTCTTTTGAGAACAGAGGAGAGGGCGATGGGAAAAGGCTTTCCCTCGGGTGGGACAGGAGGCGCCCCAGCGGCGGGAAGCTGCAGAGGAAGCAGTGTTTGGGGAAAGGGCCCTCGGGTGTACACACCTTCCAGATCCCGCTCCTCTGCAGATGCTCGTCCTGGACCCCACGGCCGCGTGCCTTCACCGCGCAGGGGAGGGGACGGAGGAACCCACAAGCCCCAGCCTCCTAGCACTCCACTCCCGCCACGCTTCTCTGGGGGGAGCCGAGGCTGCGGGGCGCAGAGCCTCGGAGGCAGGCGGGGCGGGCACCGCGCCCGGAGGAGAGCGCGAAGGGCCGGCGGCGGCCTCGCGGCGCGTCCACATGTGGCGGGGCCGCAGGGGGGAGGGGGGGGGACGGGGAGCCGAGGGGGAGGGTTTACATCTCCGCGAAGTTCCCGGATGGTCGCAGCCTCCCGGCGCTGAGCGTTTTTCCTGCCCGGCCGGCTCAGCCCTACAGACCCGAGAGAAGTTTCCCAGAAAAAAATGCCCGGCACGCCGCGGGGCCCTGGAGCCGCCCGGAACCGCTGCGCGGTAAGGGACGCGCCGCCGCCGCCGCCTCGGGCGCGACCGGAGCCCGGGGGCTT